GCCAATTCCTAAATTTTGGCTCGAGATTTGAGATTCTCCGACGCTCGGTTTCGAGGCTTCAAACTCGAATTTCTGACGTCTAAATATAAATTACTCGATCGACTTATTAATTAATTCCGAATTAATTTTTCGCTTTGGCTCGTTAGTCTCTTGGGTGTGACTAAAAGGGTTTAGTCAAGATTAAGCTGTAATATTAATTATGCATTAATATTACTGATCGGAAGCGGCCTCCACCCCGGCATTCCGATCACTTGACCTCACTGGATATATTAGCTTTCTAATACCCTTGTTCGAAGGACACTATTCCTTTCAGTCTCCTACTTGTCCTTCCGGACAAGTGTGCTTTAAGTGTATAGCCCATTTCTTATGTCGCTTAATTCCTCTTCAAGAACTATAAGGTAAGATTTATTTTTCATCCTTATTACGTCCACAAATGTTTCTCGATTTCGAGTCCAACTGTTAATAAACAAATGATTTCTAAAATCCATCACAGCACGGCCATGCATTTTTACAGTCTCGCTCTACGAGAGGTCTTGTAAACAACAAATACATCTTCCCTATTTTAGTTAGAGGACATTTCCAGTCTTGTAATGTAGCTTCTCTTACTAAGAAGACCTAGCCGCCCGAGTGTTGCAGTTATGATCCCCTAATACGGCAGAGTTTTGACAATAATCAAAGAGGACTAGTACTCAAACAAGAAAGCTCACAATACTCATGGTCAAGGAAAAAGGTTCCGATAGCAATATTGAGAAGTATACTTATGATGATTTTTAATCTCTCAAAGTATTCTCATAGGGCGATCAAGTATTGTTCTAAACCAACACTTGTGCAAATAATTCATGACGATCATGTTCTTGTAGCATAAGAAACGGTGCTATAAATCAAACTACACACTAATCTCAACTAGTTATTAATCGTCCATCATTTAAAGGACCTTTATTAGGGATAATTTTTTATTATAATATTCAATGTTCACAAAATAGGTGTTTCCTTACTAATACTAGTCTTGATACCCTATTTTGAATATTTCAAGAATGGAATGGACTCAATATTTAACCCTAAACCACAATTAAATAGCAAACGGATTGATAAAAAATTGCATGAAATTTTACATTACTCCAAAACCTAAATGGTTCATCTGATGATAAATGATTTTTTCGAATGTTTTAAGAGTAACACTCTTTATTAAACATTTATAGAAATCACACCCATACCTAATATGCTTGATTTCTTTCATGCAATTGTGAATGTTGTCGTTCACTTATTACATAGGTTTAGTTATAATTATTTTGCTAATCTTAGCATCTTCATTACTGATCACTTTCATAATAAAATGATAAAATTTGAGAGTGCCATGGATTATATGAGATTTAGGATTTATTATCCATGTGATGGCTCTCACTCATTTTCATGATTGAGATCTTTAACTTGACAACCTACAATAATTAACGTTCAACAACAAACTTTCCATAGAACAACTTCTTTATTATTGCCTTTAAGGCAACAAAATTCTCAACATATATTTTAGTAGACTTCCTGATGATGCTTTGCTTGGGTTTCACTCCAAACGGATCACAATGATTTGGGATGCCCTAATCACTTGTGATCATGGAAATTTACTTTAAATTCCCGCACATTACACATGGATGCACATCCATGTTACCATTCTCAAGCCACGACTCATTGTTAGCTCGTGATTATAAACGGCTTCCTCGTTGAGGGTCTAATCCTTGTTAAGGTTTGTGCTTGCAACATCAATTCTAAAATTGTATTTGTTTCCACAAGTTAAGAACTTATCCTGTTACTTATCCACAAGTACTTGGATGTTCTTGGCCATAATCTAACGATCTATTACATAGATTCAGGTTGATTGGTACTACATACATACTTCACATGCTCTAAGGAAATAAGTCCTGCGATGATTCCATATCATAGCGTACATGATGGATTAAGTTGCAGAGTAATACTCAATCTTTTTTTTTGGAAAATAAAAGAAATTTTATTACCAAAAGGAAAAGTTACAACTTACAAAAGCCAAGTTATAACAAACACCAAACCCCACAAGACCTGAAAAACAAGCCAACCAACCACTAAACAGTTCAAGCTCAATCTCCTGCCACCTTCTAGGAAGGGTTCAAGAGAAAGAGACAAGAACACCTTGAGCACAAGCTTCCAGCCACCTTCTAGGAAGGGTTCTGGAAACAAGGCCCAAGAACACAAAGACAAGCACAGAGCAACAATAACAAACACCACCCCTACAAACAATAAAAAGCAAACCTCCACCTAGACTCAGTTAAAAAAGCAACAAGACTAGACAAAAGAGGGTAATACACCACCTCAGGGAAAGCAACAAGACAAAGCACCAGATTTCAACATTAGTAAAACTGACTTGCAGCAACTGCAACCAGCAATAGCATCTAAAACCAGCAATAGCAGTAAAATACAGCAACAATAACAAAGACAGCAACAGTTCAACAACTCTAGAACCAACAACAGCCGAAGTTGAAACAGCAACAGAGCAACAACAACACAGCAAAGCAGCCAGCCAACAACATCAGCAACAGCAGCTGAAAACAGCAGCAGCAACACAGTCTCAGCAATATCAGCTGCTGACCAGCACAGCAACAGAGCAGACAATACATCAGAGCAGTCAGTAACAGCAACAACAACAGGGCAGCAACAGCACAACAGGGCAGTCAGCCAGCAACAGAAGTCAGCAACAAAAGCTGAAATCAGCAACAGCAACACAGAACCCAGCAATACCAGCTGCTGACCAGAACAACAACAGAGCAGACAGCACATCAGAACAGTCAGCAATAGCAAAAGAATTCAACAACAAACAGCTAATTTCAGCAACAGCAAAAGAACAAAAATAACAGTAGAAACCAGCAGCAGACAAGGACCAATAAGAGCATAAAAACAGCAAAAATCAGCAACAGCATCAGAAGACCAGAATAACAGAAGCAGCTCCTAAACAATCAAGTATTTGCTTACCGCTGGAATTCTACAGGCTGAATGAAAGACAATATCCCTAACTAGAGCATCAACAGGTTTGCAACAACTAGTAAACAAGACTACATTCCTCTGATTCCAAATACCATATACTGTTTTAGTGAAAGCTACATGGATCACATTGTTTTTTCAATCTGGAACTTCTACAGATTTTCTTCATCCATTCAATCTCATAACTAAACTGCTAAACAAGCTTGGAAACATGTAAGATACCCAACACTTTGTTCCAAACCTGTCTAGAGTACTCACAATCAAAGAATAAGTGTTGAACACTTTCATTGTTATTCAAGCACAAGAAACACCTTGGATCACAAGAAATGTGCCATTGAAGCAACCTATCCTTAGTGACAAGCCTATTCAACAAAGCTAGCCACAAAATAAAAACACTTTTAGGAGTTGATAAGTTATGACAAATAACTCTCTTCCAAGGAACCTTAGGGACTTGAGGCCTAATAGCAGCATAAAGCTTCTTGATTTTCACTTTGTTGTCCTGTATGAAACCATCCCATCCCCCTTGATCATTCACAACATCTCTACAACTCAGAATATTCTTCAAGAACTAAGAGCATTTAGCAGGGGTAGGAGTGGTCCAACAATCTTTATGCTTGAAGTAATAGATATGGACCCACTTAACCCAAAGATTATCAGCCTTGTGAGCAATATCCCAAAGTAACTTGGTGACAGCTGCTTTATTCCACTCAGGAAGAGAAAGCAAGTTCCAGCCACCACAAACTTTAGGGAGACAAACATAATTCCAAGCAACCAGAGATTTCTTAGTAGGGGCAGAGGATCCAGTCCAAAGAAAGCACCTATATCTAGCCTCAATCTCTTTCAGAATTTTCTTTGGCAAGATAAAAATTTGAGCCCAATATGTCTGAATACCAAACAACACAATCTTCACCAACTGAAGCCTCCCAGCATAAAACAAGTGTTTGGCCATCCACCCTTGGATTCTAGCAGTCACCTTCTCCACCAATGGCCTACACTGAGAAATAGTAAGCTTCTTGGAAGAGAGAGGGACCTCAAGATACCTAAAAGGAATAGTACCTTGAGAAACACCAAGAAGCTCCCTCAACTCTGTCTGAACATCAACAGAAACTCCTCCAAAATAGACTTCACTTTTATCAAGATTAGCAGAAAGCCCGGAAGCACTCGAGAATTTGAAGAAGGCTTGGAAGAGAAGCTTAACAGAAACACTATCCGCTCTAGAAAATATCAATAGATCATCAACGAACATCATGTGAGTTAGGTTTAACTTTTCACATCTAGGATGAAAGTTAAAATCAAGAGTTAACCTAAGCTCATCAAGGCATCTGGAGAGGTATTCCATACCAATGGCAAAAAGAAAGGGAGACATAGGGTCACCTTGTCTTAAACCTTTCTTAGATTCAAAAGGAGGGGCAGGAAAACCATTAATAAGAATAGAATAAGAGACAGAAGTAAGACAAGTCTAGATCCAGCTAACAAATCTCTGAAGAAAACCAAGCTTCTACATAATAGTGATCAAGAATCCCCACTCAACTGAATCATAGGCTTTCTTCAAATCCACCTTAACCATGCATCTAGGTGAAATAAATTTGTGATCATAGCCTTTGATCAATTCAGTTGCAAGAAGGATATTGTCACCAATGTGCTTGTCTGGAATGAAACCTACTTGAGCATCATCAATCACCTCACCAATGATAGCAGCTAGTCTAGCAGTTATGACCTTAGAAATAAGGTTATAAACCACAGTGCAACAAGCTATAGGTCTAAAATCCATTAGGGATTTTAGGAACAAGAGTGATAGTTGTGCAATTCCATTGCGTAGGCAAGGTCCCTTTAGTGAAGAAATCAATAACACTAGCATAAATATCATCTTTCACAATATGCCAAGCTCTCTTAAACAAGAAGGAGTTCAAGCCATCAATACTAGGAGCTTTAGTTTTATCAATTCCCTTAAGGGCAGCATCAATTTCAACATGAGAAACAGGCCGAATGAGATAGCTCTAAGCAACAGAGCTAAGATATTTACCCCTCCTCATAGTAACAAGGTCAACTGCAGGAAGCCAAGGAGCATGAGTCCCTAATAGAGACTTATAGAAGGAGATAATTTCATGAGAAATAACATCCGGATCCTTAAGCAGAACCTGGTTAGAGTCAAAGATGGAGTCAATTCTATTTCTTCTTGTCTATTATTCATCACAGAGAAGAAATAATGAGAATTGCCATCTCCATGCTTAATCTAGTTGATCCTAGATTTTTGTTTGAAGATGCTTTCCTGAATATCATTCCAGTGTTTGACAACCTTAATAGCATCAGATTCTTTAGCATACAGATCCAAATCATCAGGATTCTGAGCCATTAAGTTCTGAATTCCAGCAAGCTCAACATTAGCTTGATCAATCTTTTCCTTAATGTTGCCAAACTGCTTGCTATTAAGAGACTTGATACTAGACTTCACAGAATTAAGCTCCTGCTAAACAGAACTACCAGAACCCCAAGCCTGAGAAACAGTATCAAGGAAATCAGGGTGATCAGCAATACAGTATAGAAACCTAAAAGGTTTACCTCTCCCAGCAGGAGCAAAACAAACATCCAACAGAATTGGACTATGATCAGATAAAGAGGGGGGGAGATAGATAGTCTCAACATGCCCATGAGAGGCCATCCAATCTTGGTTACCAAAGACTCTATCAATCCTAGAAAGAAATCTAGGACCAGTGTGAGCCTTATTTGATCAAGAGTAGAAGGATCCTTTGCTCTTGACCTCAGTGAGGTCCAAATAATCAACCAAACTCTGAAAATCTCTAGTCTCATAATTAGTAACATCAATACCATGAAGCCTACCTAAAGTATGAAGAACAAAGTTAAAGTCACTAGCACAAAACCAAGGAGAATGCTGAATAGAGATGCTCCGAATTCCTTCCCACGTAGGAAGCCTTTCATGAATGGAGTGACGCCTATAAACAACAATGAGATGAATTTGAGTAGAAAGATCCTTAGAAGAGACACTACAATGAATGAAATGTTCCTGAATCTTCAAGACATTAAAAGTTACTCTATCTGCATTCCAACCAAGCGAAATTCTACCTTTGGGAGAATGATCATAATTGCACATCCAAAGCCAAGAAGAGCCAAACTTTCTCTGATAAGTGAGAACATTTTTTAATTTGATTTTTGTTTCAAGAAGACCAATAACATCAACTGAATGAGAATGAAGTTACCTCTTAACAGAGGCAACTTTGTCAGGGTCATTCAGGCCCCTGACATTCTAGATAGAGTAAATCATGACACCAAAGGGGGATTAACCTCACCCTCGCTTGGATTTATAGTGAAACCACCTGCACCATCCATTTCATTTGCAAATAAAGCCATAAAAGCATTAGAGGTAGAGGCAGGAGTATGAACTCTTGTTTGCTGGCTTTTTGTCTTCCTTCCAACTATTCTCCACCCCTCATCTGAATTTTGAGAAATATGAACCTGTGGAGTAATGACAGATTGCCCATGAACAGAAGCACCAACATCAACAACAGGAGCAGCAGCTTGGCTAGGCTTAGGAACCCAGGCCTGCTTTTGCTTAGGAGCAACAAGAGCTGGTTGCTTATGAACCTGCTTAGGCTTAGCAGGAACAGGTTTAGTAGAGCAATCATGACCAACCTTGTTGCACTTAGAACAGAAACGTGGAGTCCACTCATACACTACCTTGAGCTCCAATAGTTCCTTTGAAGGACTCTCAACCAAAACAGAGTTAGGCATAGGCTTTGTAACATCAATTTCAATTAGGACCCTAGCAAAAGACACTCTAAGTTGTCTAGTAGTACATTCATCAGCACAAATTCGCACTCCAAGCAAACTACCAATACGGCTAAGAGTGTCAGATCCACAACATTAAGTGGGAGATTAGGAAACTTAACCTAGAGAGGAACAATTCTCAGAATTTCAGCATAAAAATCAAATTTAGGACACCAAGGCTTAACTATTGCTGGTTTTCCAAGGAACATACGAGGACCAGAATAGAGTATAGTATCTTTATCATCACTAGATTACAGATTAATGATAAAGTACCCATTATCATGCCAATAAACATCTTGTTTCTGCATATCACTCCATTATTAGGCAAAAAATCAAAGAACAGCAGCAATAGTAGGGTAAAATCCAACCAAATAGAAAACTAAAGCATTAAACCACTTTTTATTACCTGCATCAAGCTCGGATTCTTGTAGAACAAAAACTTTCTTCCCATCCTGAACTTTCGGAGCAACAAAGGACAGAGAAGCTCCTTTGGCAGCCAAATTTCCCGAGAAAGGAACAACCCGATCCTCATAATTTTTATGCGCATTCTGCTCCAGGGAAGGTGTAGGATGGGGAGGTGGAATTATCGGCTCAGATAGCTCCTCAGATCCTCCAGCAACCAATGGAACAGTACACCTAGAAACCCTAGGTACTGTTCCATTAAAAATTCTCGAATCTGGCCTGACAGTAGCTTCAGCAAACAGAGCAATGGTCTCAGCATTTCTTCTAGGAATAGCTCCACATTCAAGGTGCACTAACGCCAGCGCCGGAGTAACCAGTTCATCCACCTCTTGAATCGGACTAGGAACAAACGAAGTACCTGAATTTCTCAAATTCTGCAAAATCGTGTCAAAAGCTTCATGAGTGTTCTTCTGTTATACTACTTGAGGTGTAGAAGTATTCTGCTTCTTCTTCTTAGCCATTGAAATCCAAAATTGATGAAGAAAACTGATCAAAAATAAAGAACCATGGAGAAGAGAGAGAAGAGAGAAAGTCAACGAAAGTAAAACCTCAATTTAATACTCAATCTTATTCCATCCATGTGACATTTTAGCTCATTCAGTTTCATTGAGTATTGCTTTAATTGTTCGCTATGTGATACATTTGAAACTCTCTTACTAGAGTCTTTCTTGTGTGACTTAGTATTTTTCCTAGCTTATACTTAGTTCAAACATTTACTTAGTTTTATACATACGGGTCGAAAGTCTTTCAAAGTCCTTCAATTCATATTTAGCACGGTAAATTCCTTTACACGTTCAAACATTTTTGTAAGTCTATACAATATATCTTAATACTCAATACGTACTAAGTATCGTCTTTTGTTTGGTCCATTGTTGAATATACTTTAAAATCTAAGCATTTAGTATTTGACAATTATTTCACAATAGAGTTCGTAAACTTTTTGTTGGACCTTTATATAATTTACTTTTTCTCCCACTAAACTTCTTATTCATAAGAATTTATGTGTTTCTCCATAATTCAATCCTCTTTTTAACTTCATGAGAAAACATGTTCCAATTCCTATATGCAATGCTTCCTTAGATCCCATGACTTTTTCCTTGAGCTTGCTTTCAAATCTAGAATTTATTTTGATTTTCAAAACCCTTTGATTATTTTCATAGTCACTTCAAAAATCCTATTTTAGGTAGGCGGTTTTGGTATCTATTTTGTCGTATTTCATGTGTGCAATTTTGCTTGAACAATCACGAAAATACTTGACCATTCCGATTGGTGAGTAGGTTTTTAGTAAAATCAACTCCGTGAATTTAATAGTATCCTTTTCAACAAATCTAGCTATGTATGCATATACATTTCAATATTTGTTAGTTTTCTCCTTGAAAACTTTTTTGCAATCGATGGGTCTTTCGCCCTTTATGCAAATTAATCAAGTTTCACAACATGATTTTTAAACATGGAGTCTATTTCGGATTTTTATGGCCTCTAACCATTATTCGGAATTTGGATTTTTCTTAGCTATTTTACAAGAAATTATTCCCTTACTATTTAATAGTAAATAGTATGCTTGTAAGTCTTAGGTTTATTTCTTACTTAATAGCAAATTCATAGGATTCAATTCAAGCCTTTGGTGAATTTTATACTTATACGGGGTTATTGCATTAAACACTGAGTTTCAAGGCGCTTTCAAAGCCCTTTAATTATCTTGATCTTAATCTAAATTTCAAAAAGTTTTGTGAGAAATGAATTCTCTTTTAAGGCACTTGTAAAGTCCTTTTGAGTATTCTTGATCAAGTGTCCTCAGGAAGCCCTTTTCAGGTCTTCTGAGATTCTCAGTTCTAGTTTGTTGCTAAGCTCGATCGTCATTGAGTTCATTTTCCTCCCACTTGTCATTTTCGGAATGTGTTACTTCCAGAAAGACACCACTTAGAGCAACAAACACAATGTTCTCAATTAGGTTGTGGAGGTAATGCCGGTGGTCTCACTTGAATGCTTACAAAGAGACATGTATATTGTCTTTGGGTAAAAGTTCGTTGTAAAACAAACAGTTAGCTCCCACTTGAGCTATCTTAACCTTTAATGATCCATTAAGCTCCCACTCAACCACCTAGCTCTTGCTAAGCCGGTGAGCTCCCACTGAGTCACTTAGCTCCCACTGAGCCAGTGTACTCGCACCGTGGCTAAAAGTTTTAGAAATATACATGAAAAAACATTTAGAAGTTAATTCTATGCATAACCTAATATGGTGTCCTTTCTTAGCTTTGACATTTTGTTTAGTGTAACATTAGTCCTTTGTGCAAATGTTAAGAACTTTATAAGAAGGGATGTGATCCATAATTGTTCGAGTCATTTTTTAAATGGCATCGAGGTCTCCGTGAAGACACACTATGTTCTTTTTGAAGTTATTTATGAAAATTTCAATTTCATAACTTTGTGATGGTGACACTTGGCTCAAGCAAACATCGCTCGATCTAATCTAGACGTTTTGATATTTTGCCAAATCGATTATGTACTTCATTGAACTCTTGAACTATTCAAGGTCAAGTTTGTTCATATTTGATTAATACAGCCTTTAAGGAATAATTTCAAGCCTTAAATCCCACTAGCTCGACCCCACTGTGATCATACACTAAAGTACGGTGGCGTCCAAAAGGGAAGAAGATAGAGCAAAAGAGTCGCCAACAAGTTTTTAAGGAACTTGTAAACCGTTCATAGGATGAAGGTTACACCCCTTAACGTTCCAAGAGATCGTCAACTCCATAAGGTCATGAACCAAATAAGGGTCCGGGGATGAAGGTACAAATCCAACCTAAAAGAGATTGAACCTGCCCTAATAATATGCCTATACTTTATTCTGATCGTATTCATGTGCGCTTTTTAATTAACATGTAATCAATAGGATTAACCCTAAACCTGTTTATCTATGTTGGTTGAATATAATGCACAAATAAACTACTGTTGGCGATCACTTGAATTTATAATCAAAGTTAACCTAACAAGATTATTAATTATCTTATTAAGCGTGATTACAAGTACAAATTCCCTTTAAACATGCATGAAAGGTGTGATCAAGCAATAAAGAATAAATAATGTATCAAGCAACATAATCAATAATAATCATGAAGAATAAAAATAATCATAACATAATAATAATAATAATAATAATAATAATAATAATAAATAATAATAATAATAATAATAATAATAATAATCATCATCAAAATAATAATAAACTATAACAATTATAATCATAATCATGTTCATGTTAATATTAAAGCATAATAAAAATAGCAAGATCCTAGGCATGATACTAACAAGATTAATAACAAACCCTAGCATGTCACTAAGCAATAAAAATCAAATCTTTAACCCTAACATGATACTAGCAATTATAAATATTAGGAAGAGCATAGGAAGCATCACAACAATCATGTTTAATATTAAAATTACCCTAGACATGATACTAGGAATATCATAATAACAATATAAACATGATTTCTACATCATAATATCAATTAAAACCATTAAAGCACTTACTTTGATGCCTCGTACCTCTTTCTCATAACAAAATACACACGTTAGTAACGCCAAGGAAAATAATAATCAAAACAATTAAATTAAATAATTGAAATAGAGATTTGGGACCAAACCCTCAGACATTAAACCTTTCACGCCTAGGGCGAAGGCAACTTCGAATATGGCTAGGTGTATCTAGATGTTGCGAATGCGAAATTTTGTATTTGAGAAAAGGCTAGTTTAAAAAAAGAGAGAGAGAGAGAATAATCAAGAAAATCTTGATGAGAGTTGGTGAATTGAAATAAGAATTGATGATATTTGGTTATCGAAAACGGAGTTTTAATACGTTATTTATAGATAAAATCAGCCAAAAAGATAAAATTAACAAAACAGAGTCTGAAGATCGCAAAGCAGGATTGGCGCCAACCCTGGCTAGCTGGCGCTAGGCACAAGTGGCTAGCGCCAGGCGCCAATGGCTAGCGCCTGGCACCCAGCCTGGTTCCAGGCGCCAAGGCCTGGGGTTGGACGCCAAACTGGATTGCAACGCGTTCTCGAAAATCTCATAAATTCCTGTACTGGAAGATAAAATAATATAATTTCTTAGAAAATACTATTTAATGTTGATTAAAACTCTGAAAAGTCAACAAAGTCAACTTATCAATGCTAATTGAATTAGGAATGAAAAGAACCTTCTAGAAGATTCTAGAAAACCAAAACCATTCCTAATTGCATTAGGAATGATAAATCATATTTGGCCCTCCCCTAGATCATTGGGCCGTACATAAAGCTCAAACCGGGCCCAGTTTAGTAAATTGGCCATAACTTCCTCAATATTCATCGGAATTGGGCTTATAATATATCGTTGGAAAGGTCTTTGCATGCCCCATCCACCTACACCACTATTGGACCCATATGATGGACCAACCAAACTGGATTGGCTGTTTTCTTAAAATAAAGTTTTCCAAAACAGGGAGAAGAGAAAAGAAATAAAACTTTCCGCAACACTAGATCTTTCCACACTTTCGTTTCATTCGATTATGATTCGACGTGAAAGGTACTCATCACCGGGTTTGATTTTTGGGAGACACAAATGGGTGTCTACATAAGCCCCCACTTTGAATGAGTTTGGAGAAACGCAAGTTTCGAAAACAAAAGTCAAAGTATCGATAAGGACGGAGAATGATTCAGAACGTTCTGCGATCCTAAATCACTCTTGTAACGCCGATACCTACAAACTAGCGTTAGTTAAACAGATAAAAGAGTTAAGAAACGCGTATCTTGCACCGTCAAGCACACGTCTCTGAGAGTAACCGATTGTTTTGACCACCTCCTACAA